TCCCCACCACCCGTTCCCTCTCCCGCTCCATCCTGGCTCAGGAACCCCCACCATTGCCCCTGTACACCGCCTACATGGACTTGGCGGAGATCGACGATGTTCGGGCCACCGTGGTAGTGTGTGGGCGGAAGGAAGGGATGCTGCGGGTCAAGAAAAGCGAGATTTCCACCTTAGGCGCCATATTGATGCGGGAACGGGCCGGGTCGACCACAGAGCTGGGGCAAGTGATGAGGGTGGAAGGGGAGGAAGGGGAGAGGGCAGGCATGAGGATGGAGGTAGAGGCGGAGGGCGGGAAGGAGGAAGGGGCCGCATGGCTGGGAAAGAAGGCCTGCCGTCTCCAACGTTTGGTGCGACGGTCGGGCCAGCCGTTTGAGTACATGCGGGACCTGTGGGTGGCGATGGTGGGGATGGAAGGGGGGAGGATGGGTTTGACCCGGGAATCGATCTGGAGCATCTACCAAGAACTCCGCCGGCTGGCCCCCATGCTGGCTGCCCAAGCAGGCACGGCGTTGTACTTGCCCATGATTGGGTGTGGGAGAGGTCAGACTGTGGGTGGTTTCGCCTCGCCCGGCCTGGTGCGACAAGCGATCATTCAAGAGTCGGTGGGTTTCGCGCAATTTTTGGCCCAAGCCATCCCAAGCCCGCGCTTGGAATGCGTCGTGCTGTACACTTGGGAGAAGGACTCGATGGGCGTGTTAATGGACTCCCTCCGCGTCTTCAAGGAGAAGTTCAGGGGCATGATGAGCGCCCGCTTGGACGAGGAGGAGTACGGGCGCTATGTCCGGGTCCTGCATGCGGCGGCCGCCGCCGCCACTGCCTCCCGTCCCTCCACCTGCCCGCCTTCCTTCCCCCCTTCCTCCCCTACAACCGGAGACGTGCCCATGTCCATTGCCAGCTCCGTCTCCTTTTCCTCTTCCCCCCCGTCCTCCCTCCCGCCCTCCTCTCTCCTCGCCTGTGACCTGGAGCTCGAATCACGCCTGCGTGCCTTGACATCCCTCGATTCCTACCCGGACGTATGCCAGGCGTGCTGGGCACTGGGACAATACCTGACCACTGCGTACAGAGAGCGGTTCACGGGCGAGGATCTGGAAAACACAATGGAGGGGGCGACGCAGGTGCTGCGGTACAACAAGGACAAGGCAGATTTTGAAGAAGAAAAGGGGAAGGAAGGGGGGGGGGAGGAATGGCTGTCCATGGTCGGTCACTACGATTCACTCAGGAGCTTACATGCAGTGCTGTCTCTGCTGCGGGCTCTGGGACCCTGAGAATGGGACGGAGGGGGGAAGGAAGGGAGGGAGGGCAAAAGGGGAAATGTGCAGAGTAGGAAAGACGTCAGAACATGGACAGGCTGTTTGTGCACACTTCCTGTACAGAAGAGCGAGGAAGACCCACAAAGAGGGGGAGGCATAGAACCAGGAAAGAGGTGGTCGACACTTAGGGATGGTCGGCTGGACTGTCAGGCACGCCTACCTGCAAGGCGACTCCACGACTTGTGACACCACGACCTTTTCCGCTTGCCATGTACGCAATATTTCAAATATTTAAAACAACGAAGACTCCGCCTCAATCCGAGAAGGGAGGGAAATGACACGCGCTGCATGTAGGATAAGGATATATGGGAGTGCTGGAGACGCAGAAGACAACGCAGTTTCCGCCTTCTAGGACTTGTAAACGTCAAAGCTTGGCTCATAGCACTGTTCCATTTCTTTCGTTTTTCTGCCTTATTTTCCAATCGACATTTTTGACATCACAAACACTACCCACACGTCCCGACGAGCTTTTCCTTCACCCGCCCTCCACTAC